GAACCGGTGGCCATCTTGGATAGGCTGGTCCGAAAGTTGAGGTCAAAGAACATTACTTCAGTGGAGGGGTCAACTAGTCGAGGAGGCGACTTGGGAGACCGAGCATGATCCGCGTAGCCGTTATCTTCATCTTTTCACCACTTCAGGTATATCTCTATACTCGTTTGAGGATGAACTTTGTTTTAAGAAGGGGAGGTTGTAACGACCCGGCCGGTCATTTTGAGTATTTTAGCCTTGTTCCCCTATTTATTGCCTTCCCTATATTATATTATGGCTATGTGATTTGTCAGGTTGGTTGGTTTGGTTTCGGGTGAGTTTCGGAGTGAATTGGGATACTTAGTCCCAAAGTTGGAAGCTTAAGTTAGAAGAGTTGACCGAAGTTTAACTTTTATGTAGACGACTCCGGAATGGAGTTTTGATAGTTCCGATAGATTCATATGGTGATTTTGGGCTTGGGAGCGTGTTCGGATATTGATTTGAAGGTTCGTAGGTTATTTTGGCTTGAATTGGCGAAAGTTAGAAAGTTAAAGGTTTGAAAGGTTGAGAAGTTTGATCGAGAGTTGACTTTATTGATGTCGGGGTCGTATTCCGATTTTGGACATTAGAATAGGTCTGTTGTGTCATTTATGACTTGTATGCAAAATTTGAGGTCAACCGGAGTTGGTTTGGTATGAATCGACGTTAGTTTTGGAACTTGGATGTTCATAGTTTCAATAGGTTGGAATTGGGTTGCAATTCGTAAAATCGATATTGTTTGACCTGATTTTTGGCCTCAAGTAGCTCCATCATGTGATTTAGGATTTGATTGTATGTTCGTACGGGGTCTTGGGGGGCCCCGGGTGTGATTCGGTTTGAAATCAGATTCATTTTTGGACTTAGTTGATTGCTGAAGAACTGAAGTTCTGGTATCATCGCATCTGCGGACACTTGGGCGTAGGTGCGCACTCGCAAGTGCGACGATGTTCCGCAGAAGCAGATTTTTAGCTGGGCTGAGGAGGAGGACCGTATGTGCGGTTACGCTTCCGCAGAAGAGGGCTCGCAGAAGCAAGCAGTGGTCAGCAAAAGCAAAAAGTGCTGGGCTTAAGTGAAAGCCGCATCTGCGATGGATTTTCCGTATGTGTGATCCACGTCCAATCCGCACTCAATAGTGAGTGAAAACGGTCGTTGGAATAATAGTACCCAACAAGAGTCAGGGTTGATTTGCACAGGGAGTTACTAGGGGTGTTAGGAGTATACACTTGACGAAAGCCAAAGAAATAGCTAAATTGCGCTTCCACAAAAGGTTTTGAGTTCTAATTCTAATTTTACTCTAGCAATTATAAGCTAAGAAAAGAAACTAGAAGCGAATGATTGTTTTTGATATTTTTCCAAGTAATTAAAAAGCCTAGGGATATGACCATAACCTAGGTGTTTGCTTAATGGGTAAAATACGTTATACTTGTTTTGTTGATTGGAGTGCATTATAGCTCTCAACTCTATGTTACCCACTCAATACTTCTCGGTCAAAAAGTGATTTTGCCCAATTTGGCTTTCTCAAGTGCAAATGGGTATCAAACAAAATAGTTAATATGAGCTCAAGTCAGGTTCTCACTATATCTAGTTTGAACCCTTTAATTAGGCTAATCAAACCCTCAATTAGCCCAATTTCTTGTTAGCCAAGTTATCATAGACTAGGTCCATCTTTCTCAAGTAGAGACTAAGTCAAAAAGGCATGAATCAATGTTTGCAATAGTTAATTCTAAAATTGACGCATAAACTAAGCTAAATAATCAACACACAATCATAAACAAGCATTAAATTAAGTACCCATAAGGTTCACACACTAGGGTTGAGTTACAACCCTAGTAAAAATCTAGCTATTCATAGTGGAAATTGAAGAAAATAAAGAAGAAATGCTAATTAAACTCATAATCTAAGATAAATGTAATAAAATATAATGTTTAAACACTAAAATAGTCACAAACTTCCTAAAATGGCAAAATGTAACGGCTACAACAGCTCAAACTTCAAAACTTGACCTAAAAATATGAAACTCGTCTATTTATAGTGGCCCAAAATTCGATGAAAAAATGCCCCTCATGAGGTTCTGCGGCCGCACAATTCTTGCAGCTGCGAGGCATCTTCTGCGGCCGCACAATTCTTGTGCGGTACACACTTCAGCAAGGCTTCGGGACTTGGTCTTTTGCACACTCTCTGAACTTTGAATCATTTGTCAGTGCAGACCCTATTCTGCAACCGCACAAATTCATGTGCGGTTCGCACATTGGCCAAATTCTTGCTAGCTCTTCCTCTTGATCTGCGGCCGAAGATGAAATTCTGTTGTCCGCACTTTCTTCTGCGGCCGTAGAAATCCTTCTGCGAACTGCACTTCTTTAGTTCTGCGCCCTTTCTTGCCTTGTGATTTGGAACACTCCTTTTTGAGTCGGAATTCATCATGGGAGACCAACTTTCAACATTCCTACAATTTACACACTTTCATTAGTTTTGAGAACATAAATCAATACTTTCGGACTAAAACAAAAGTAAAACGGTGCTAATAAGTAGTCAAAATCCCCACTTATCAAGGTGCGGAGCCACATAAGTGGTTGTTGGTCCGCAAAAGCGGAATCAATGGGCTGAAAAGGGGCAGATCGAGGGTTTGTTCCCATTTTTCATCTTTTGAGTTAGAGACCTCGGTTTTGGGTGATTTTGAGAGAGATTTTCAAGGAGTTGATTGGGGTAAGTGATTTTGACTTGGATTTGATTATTATACATGAATCCATCATTAGTTTTAATATTTAATTAGTGTTTTGAGTTGGAAAAATTAGAAAAAATTGTGAAAACTTCCTAAGTTATATTTTGAGGATTTGAAGGTTGATTTGAGGTCGAAACTGAATAGTTTTTGTATGGTTGGACTTGTTATTGAGTGGGTGTTAGAATTTTATAAGTTTGATCGGGTTCCGAGACGTGGGCCTGGGATTGACTTTTTGAGTTGACTTTTATTTTCTTTAAAGATTGCAACTTTATTATTCGGAATAGTTTCTTATGGTTTGTATTTATGGTATAAAGTTATTTTGGCTAGATTCGAGCCGTACAGAGTTAGATATTTGCGGAAAAGGCATACTAGTAGATTGAGTTAGCTTGTTTGAGGTAAGTATCTTGCCTAACTTTGTGTGAGAAAATTACTCCTTAGGATTTAGGTTGTTTGTACTATTTGTGATACATGAAAGTCGTGTACGCAAGGTGACAAGTGGGTATACAGGCTATATGTGGTAATCGACTGGTTTAGGCTATTTAGATTCTTTTCATGCCTTAATCGCATTGTCATAACATATTGTATCTTTCATCGTTAATCTATCCTTACATGATTTATTTGACATCGTTAAATGCATGTCCCCTCTTTTACTTGTTATTTGACCTTACATGCTTAGTTGAAGTATTGTTTCCTTATTGCCTTGTTAATTATTTAACTATTGAGTTACCTTACTCGAAGTTGTTATTTCTCGGAATATCATCATGATGAGCTTTGGTGCTAAAGTTATAAAATTCGTTATCACATTATGACAAAGTTTTTAATTGTTGAACTACCATTCTTGATAAGCTATTAAATTTCAGTTTTCTATTATTGAGACTCTTGTACACATTGTGGTTGAGCCATGGGCTGTTTGTTGTGGAAACATTGATATTGTTGATTCTTTTTGGCAAGTTGTGGCAATTGGACACTTCAGGTGTGAGTTGTGATATGTTGTGATATTAATACACATGCGGTGGTATAAGGGTAGGGGTTGATACACATGTGGTGGTATAAGGGTAGGGGTTGATACGCATGCGGTGAGATAAGGTGGGATTGATACACATGTGTTAGTAGGGGAACTACTTGAAGCCACGCAGTGTGATAAGATGTGCTAAAACGCGGGTAGTTATTTCAGAAAAAATAATTTTTAAAACTAAATGTAAGGCTCCCACGGTGATATAAAGAAAGATTATGATTGTGATTGTGACATGATATACGAGGCGGTACCTCTGTGGTGATTCTTGTCGTTATCTTTCATTTATATCACTTGTGTTTCTCTGCATCGTTTTCTTGGTATTCTTATTACGTGTTCCTTCCTTGATGCCTTTATTGCCTTAAATTGAGTTGTAGCTTATCTTGTTGTATTTCTTCATTGTATCATTTCCTCGTTTTCATTATTATATTATACTATACATGTTCAGCTTCTTTTATTATCCTATTAGGTGTCTTGACCTGACCTCATCAATACTCTACCGAGGTTAGGCTTGATACTTATTGGGTACAGTTATGGTGTACTTATACTACGCTTCTGCACATCTTTTTATGCAGATCTAGGTACCTTATACCAGGCTAGACACCAGTGAGTAAAGCTTTCAAATCGAAGACTTCAAGTTATGCCTGTCGGCGTTCGCAGGCCTCAGAGTCGCCCTCTGTCCGTGTTTTTCTATTGCGTACTCTTTATTTAGACACTGATGTATTAGGGATGTTTCAATATACTCGTGTAGAGCTTATGACTCAGTCTTACCAGATTTTGGAAAGTTATTATCAGCGATATTGTTGAGTTCTATTATAAAGTTATTATCAGCGGTATTGTTGAGTTCTATTATAGTGGCTAATGGCTTAATTTGAAGTTCTATTGTTATTTCTGTTATTTCATCAGGTATGTTAGGGAACTTTTCAAGTCTTAATACTGTTTATAAGACGGACAAACAGAAAATAAAACGAGGATAACTGCTTCGAATTCAAAGCAAATACAGCATGCAAAATAAGTCAATCGTCGGCCTGCTTCTGTCTGTCATGTGACCTGCATCTTCTTTATTTCATTGTTATATTGCACTCTGAAAAAATTTCGGAGTTTCTTATTATTAATCCTTTGTTATGCTCCCACAAACACAAAAATATGCTTTTACTAGAATTGACTAAACTAAAGCATACTCTAGCCGGTATTAAAATTGTACCGTGTCTTACATCTTGAAAAGGAACAGTCATATATATCATATGAAACGCATTGAGGGAACTGCACCATAAATTCGATCTCCAGAGCAGTAATTGAACATGAACTAGACGGATTTTCCGACGAGATGACGGGGAAACAAGGCCAATCTACAACAGATTCCTACTTAAAAAGTAATTAATACAACATTATAAATTGCAACGCACACTAAATAGCTTATAGTTCTAGTGTATCAAGGACTTCTATTACCTATAATTCCCACTTAACCAACTTATCAAGCTTGTCCGAAACGAGGCTCAGGCTCAGCTTCAAGATGCTCCACTGGCTTATCAGATAAATGCCTAATCTTCATCTTGTTTATGGCATTAGCAGGACTAAGGCTCTTGGGGCAACATGCCGTGCAGTTTTTTATAGTCCTGCACCTGTATAAACGCTCTCGATCCTCTGTTAATGCCTGCAATCTCTCATTTGCAAAATCATCTCGACTGCAGAAAAATAGAAACATCGGTTAACAAGCAAGAACAAAATTAATAAGCATTTTTGGTGTATATATATGTAACTGGTGTTCCGAAGAATTGACCTGTCCGAGATCCATCGATAGGCATGAAGCAAAGAAGCAGGTCCAAGAAACTCTTCAGGATTCCACCAGTAAGAAGGGCAAGAAGCGCTGCAGCAAGCACACAATATGCATTCGTATAAGCCATCAAGTTTTTTCCTATCCTCGGGTGTTTGCCTGTATTCTCTCCCACCTGGCGGGGGCTTTCGTGTCTTTAACCATGGCTCTATAGACCTGCATCCTCAAAAGCTAATAAGATTCCGTATACTGCAGATTTACAAATTAACCATGAATTGCTCCAACATATAATTATTTACTAGATTTTTGACAGGTTCTATGAGTTTTCAACTGAACAGATTGCTCTGACTCAAACATATAATTATTTACTAGTAATATTTAAAACAACATTTAAAACGTATACACAATTAATAAAATCAAATTCATTCCGAACTCATTGACTATAGATCATGAATTCGCTCACATTGTCAATGAAAGGTTAAATTATATGGTTGTTCCATCAACTTAACAAAACCAGGTCCCGTTGATATTTATATTTCTAAATATTAAATACTAACTCTGATGAAATGAGAAAAGGAGTGGAATTACTTGTACTGCTGGTAGAAATAAGTGAGATCGACCACCAAATCTTTGATGACAAACATGTGAGGAAGAGGAGTGATGGTAGTTGGTTTGCTAGTATCGGTATCAATAGGCTTGAGGCATGCTACTGTGTTAACACCATCTATGTTCATTGCGCATGATCCGCATATACCTTCTCTACATGACCTCCTGTAACTCAAACTTGAATCCTCCTCTCCTTTTATCTTTTGCAATGCATCCAGAACCTACAAAAACGATCATTAAATTCGGTGAGTCCGGACTTCTCCTTTAATAACATACTTGAAAGAAACCCTGTAGGCACGAACGTAAATTCAGTTTTTTGGCTAAAATTTACAAAAGAGAGAAAAAGAAGAAAACTTTCCTACATAAAAGATCATATGAAAAATTAGAAGATACTCTGGCGTTTTAGTTTCAAGGCTGGCTCTAGGTTGTCCACCTAAATTTTTCATTAGGCGACTTTATTAGACTATGATTCAATTTTCTTCAAACTAAATTGAAGCAGTCTCAATTGAAGTTTAATTTAACAAATATCCATTACAGTCGTAAGAAATTTTTACACTATATATGATATATATATATATCATATATTCACGGCAAAGACCTCCTTGTACACATTGTTGAGGGCAACAATCTCGAGAACAACATGTCATGTTAGGCGTTTGTCCTGAATTTCGTAGCATATTTGATTTTTCTATCTCTTGAAAGAATGGTAAGATATTTACCATAATTGATTTTACCTTTTACGTAAAAGAAAATATAATCCTTCCATATTTGATTAGTTATTTTTCTTAGAGAAAAAAGGTTTTGTATTTCCATAAATCGAGGATCTTTCCTTCTCATTTAGAAGGATCTAAAATCTACAATGTAGTATCAAGGCGTTTGAGAGTCTTGAATTTGTGAGACAAGTCTTAGCTTGCCACTTGTGAGAGCCTCTTTGTGAGGTTGTTCTCTAGATATTTTATATTCTCTTTTACATGATGGATTGCATATCTCCGCCTGTGGACGAGGTTAGTTGTTCTCTTGAGGTAAACGAGGTTGTTCTCTTGATATTTTGTATTCTTACAACTGGTAGAATCTTTGAGGTTATTCTCTAGATATTTTATATTCTCTTTTATATAATGGATTGCACATCTCCGCATGTGAACGGGGTTGTTCTCTTGATATTTTGTTTTCTCTTTTGTATAATGGATTGTATATCTCCGCCGGTGGACGTAGCGAACCACGTTAAATATTTGTGTCTCTTAGAGTATATTTTTGTAGTATATTTCTCTTTCCTAATACAACATTCATGACAATCATCACTAGCTACTTTCTCCCTATTGCAACCTTATTTTCAAGATTAAAAATATTATTTTCTTGAAATTACTTGTAAATGTCTTCCAGATGTAAATATTTCTCCGTAGCTATATGAGTCAAACTATTTTCAATTAAATCTTATTCTCCTTATTTTACAGCCACAAGAAAATTATACCTAGTTTCTAATTGAGACAAAACGATTATATAGTAAAATTGACACAACAAAAAAATAGCAATAGCAATATACTCCCAAATTAAAGCACATACCATGGGTCCACAGGAGGGAAGATCAACAAAGAAAGATTGAAGAAAGGGTTTCTGGTTAGGGTAATCAGGGCTCCATCTATAGATTCTGAATTCCTTCTTCTTAGCTTTATCAGCTAATTTCATGGCATTTTTCAGGTTCCCAACAGATTTCACGGCTTCTTGTCCATGTTGTTGTGCAATGGGGTGCCCTTCAAGTATAGGGAACTTGTCTTTTTTTATCAAACGCCCCAACTTCTTCACCCCTTCTTTTACTATGTTTCTTGACATTTTGAATTAAAGCCCAGAAAGATTGGAAGAAACACTATATATCTGCTCTTAGCTGTTCTAATAAGAGAGCTTATACTTGCATGCAGGGAAATTTAAAGGAAGACACCTGGTTGCACGTGTCAACCTTCACGATCATTTGGTTTTTTAGCTTAACGGTGTTTCAATTTTTCATTTAAGAAGATATATAGGGTGGGAAAAAAAGAATGTAGGACTTGTATTTCTTTAAAATAAGACAAGAGAGGGGGAACTATGTTGATCATTAAGGTGTCACTAGACCCCTTAAATTTCGACAGTAATATTTGTATATATATATATATATATATATATACAGGTGCATGTTATAAAATAAAGACCGTAAAGTAAAGACAAGTATAGAGAGAAACTGATATATTATTCAAACTTCAAATTTATGTATATAATGAACTGAAAACTCCTTTATTTATAGAAGAAAGGAAGTAGCTGCGAGACTTTTCAGAAAGCAGGTGCAAGACTTTTCTTTAGCTTCTTGTAAGCTACCTACATGAGCTGCTTGCAACCTGCCTATTTAATAAGAAATTGCTGCAAATTATTTTATTGAGCTGCTTGCAACCTGCCTGCATCAACTGCTTGTAGATAAACTTCAACAGAGTACTAAATGGATAATCTTTTTCAGGAAGATTATCTATAGCGAAGTAATAAATGGACATCCACAATATAATTATTTTCATAACACTCCCCCTTAGATGTTCATTAAAAGGTTGTACCTCGTTAAAACCTTACTAGAAAAAACCAGTGAGAAAAATCCTAGTGAAGGAAAAAGAGTATACATATTTAGTAATACGCATTTCTAGCTGCCTCATTAAAAACCTTACAAGAAAAACCCCATGGGAAAAAGCTTAGTAAGAAAAAAAAAAAAGTACAACGCCTATTTCACTCCCCCTGATGAAAACTTTGTTTCAAATATTTGAGTCTCCACATTCCAATCTTGTATACCATCTTCTCAAAAGTTGAAGTTGGCAAAGATTTAGTGAACAAATCTGCTGGATTATCACTTGAACGGATTTGTTGCACATCGATGTCACCATTTTTCTGAAGATCATATGTGTAGAATAATTTTAGTGAAATGTGCTTAGTTCTATCTCAAATCCTCCCTTTAATTGGGCTATGCATGCAGCATTATCTTCGCATAAAATTGTGGATCTTTTATCACATTCCAAACCATATTTTTCTTGAATAAAATGAATCACTGATCTCAACCATAGGCATTCCTTACTTGCTTCATGAATAGTTATTATCTCAGCATGATTTGAAGAAGTAGCAACAATTGATTGCTTTGTGGAGCGCCATGATATGACAATACCTCCACATATAAACACGTACCCGGTTTGAGATTAAACTTTATGGGGATCAGATAAATAACCTGCATCCGTATAACCAACAAGATCTGCACTATCTTTGTTAGTATAAAACAAGCTCATATCAATAGTTCCTTTTAAATATCGCAAAATATGCTTAATCCCATTCCAATATTTCCGTATAGGAGAAGAGCTATATCTTTCTAGTAAATTAACAGAAAATGCTATGTCAGGCCTTGTAGCATTAGCAAGATACATAAGTGCACCAATTGCACTGAGATATGGTGTTTCAGGACCAAGGTGTTCCTCATCCTCTTCTGGAGCTCGGAACGGGTCCTTATTCACTTCAACTGATCGAACAACCATTGGTGTACTCAAATTGGTACGCTTTGTCCATGTAAAAGCGTTTTAAGACCCTTTCTGTATAGGCAGATTGATGTATAAAGATCTTGTCTGCTAAATGTTCAATTTGCAATCCAAGACAAAGTTTTGTCTTTCCAAAATCTTTCATCTCAAATTTTTTCCTAAGATATTCAATTGCCTTTTGGAGCTCTTCTGGAGTTCCAACAAGATTTATGTCATCAACATAAATAGCAAGTATAACAAATTTTAACGTCATTTTCTTTATAAAAATACATGGACAAATAACATCATTTATGTAACCTTCTTTCAACAAATATTCACTAAGGCGATTATACCACATGCGCACAGATTGTTTTAAACCGTACAAAGATCTTTGTAATCTGATTGAATACATTTTTTGAGATTTCGAATATGCTTCAGGCATTTTAAATCCTTCAAGGATTTTCATGTAAATCTCATTATCAAGTGACTCATACAGATAAGCTGTAACCACATCCATCATATGTATTTCAAGCCTTTCACGTAAGGCTAAACTGATGAGATACCGAAATGTTATGGCATCCATAACGGGTGAATATGTTTCTTCATAATCGACTCCACGTGTTACGGCCCAAAATACCAACCTGTCGTGATGGCGCCTATCTCAATACTAGGCAAGTCAATAATCTCCATAAATCACAACTTCTCTTCAAGTTTGAAAATGCAATATTTAAATACCGTACAAAATCCCACAAATACTGATACGAATACTTCTCAAAACCTGGTGTCACTGAGTACATGAGCATCTATTATGAATACAAGTATGGAAAATACGGTCTATAATGATCTGAGACCAAATACAACAAACAAGGAGATAGGAAAGGAGAGGCAAGGTCTGCAAAATATGGCAGCTACCTCAGAATCTCTGAAAAAGCAACTGCGCAAAAGAATCAATGCTCGCTATGCCCGGGAACACCTGGATCTGCACACGAAGTGCAGGGTATAGTATGAGTACAACCAATGCAGCAAGTAACAATAATAAATAAGGAATTGAATATAGTGACGAGCTACACAGTTATAGTTCATTTTCAGTAATTTCAGCAAAGAATAGACATGCTTTCAAATCCAGCGTTTTAAGTCAAATCAATTCTATACAGTTCAAGTTCATGTATTCCGGGTATACAATCTTTCAGAAAATTTCACAACAATGACAGATAGCAACTAGTGCAACAACAAATGAAAAGAAGGTACAGCCTTTCAGGCAACAGATACTCAACCCATCACAACCGCTCAACCACTCATCTCTTAGCCCTCAGCACTCACACTCAATGGGTACCCGCGCTCACTGGGGGTGTACAGACTCCGAAGAGGCTCCTACAGCCCAAGCGCTATAATCTGCATGGCCAACTCGCGTGCTGTATGGACAACTCACGTGCCATAGTATCAATATCTAGATCCACACGGCCAACGCATGTGCTGCACGGACAACTCACATGCTATAGTATCAATATCTGGATCCGCACAGCCAACTCACGTGCTGCACGGACAACTCACATGCTATAGTATCAATATCTCACAATCAGGCCCTCGGCCTCACTCAGTCATAAATCTCTCCAGTCT